GGAAAATGTCAAGATAAATCCTTCAAATTGCAAATTGCTGCAAATATATCAAGGATATAATTAAGGTGACAAATGTGAGAGGCGAGTGTTGTCAGAGGACATTTCTTATAAGGTCCTAACTCCTAACTTTTATTTAGATAGGGTTTACAATTGTGATATTTTATTGAAGTTGTTTAATACATTTCTAGAAGCTTTTTAAAAAAAATCTTAAAAACTATTTGAATTTGGTATTGTATAGGATTAGCTTAACGGTCCATTAGCTTTTTTTGAATTCTACCTATAAAGATAATACAATTATTTTTAAGATGTACAAAGATTTTTAAATAAAATTTCAAAAGTAAAACCCATTTAAGTAAACTTTTTATTAAAAATGGTCCTTTCAGCATCTAGTCCTTATATCTTAGCCCTGTCTATCTTTCGGCCCAAGAAGATGACCAGAAGAACAAGAACCGGGCCAATTGCAGCAGATAGAGTGGAAAATAAACGAAGACGAGGGTCGGGAGGAAATGGGTTCAGGTCCAAAAGGTAAAAAACTAAAAAAATAAAGGGGGAAAAAATAAGAAAATACGAGAAAGAAAAAAAATGTCATGTGGGCTCGGACTGCACAGGGGCACGTGCCCTCTCAAGCGCGAAATGCAACTGCAACTGCAACGTGCCGGGGCCGGGGCCGGGGTAGGGTAGAGGAGAGGAGTGGCCGCAGTGAGAAGGGTCCGGAGAAGATGCCCCCGACTTTTGGTCTTGATCTCTGAGGGCGCCCTTCCCTCGATTCTCGATTCACGACTCATCTGTGTATCTTTGTATCTTTGTTTTGCGTTTCGTTTCGTTTTTTATTTTTTAGCCGCCTCGTATCTAGCCATCTCTATCTCTTTGTGTTCACTTCCGGCGCTGCGGTTGACTGTCTTCCCCCTCTCATCCCCCTCTTCTGGTAGTTGGTCTGTTATCCCCTCTAGCCCCCGGTGGTTCCCCTATTTTGTGAACCATCTTTTCTTTAATTGCTTTTATGCTGTCCTGCAGGTTTTTCCTTATTTTCTTCTTCATTTCGACCTGCCCCTCTTGTATTATTTTTTACAAGGGGGTTGACTTCTTGCCACTGACCCTCCTGCCACTTCTGCCACTCCTGCCACTTCTTTTTTTGTATTTTTTTTATTTTTATTTCGCCCCTACTTTCGAATTAAAAGGCTGCCAGGTATTTCTGTTAAATTAGATTAAGAAGTCAAGCACATGTCTTCCGCCCTCGGACAGTTGTCTCTCTAGGATCAGGATCTAAAAAGGATAATAGGCATAGGGGGGGGAAGAATGTGACATTTTAGGTTTTTTCTCCAAGAAGCCAAAGATGTTTTCTTGGAAGAATACATAGAACTTGTAGACTTTAAAGTTTGATATATAATATTTAAAAAAAATTCTTAAGTCGGATTTTCAACGTATTAGGAAAAATGAATAAAGAGCCGCCCGACCTTGGCGAACAGGATCCAGAGATGCTGCAGGTAAGCGATCATTGAACCTGTTTCTCGGCTTCTTCAACGTCTTTCCACTAATGGCCCTAACAGGTGCATCTTGGCGATCAAAAGGATCGAGGATTGCGGTGCAAGGACCCTTCTGCCACACGCCACGCTGCATCCTGAAGATGAATCGGAGGGGCACGTGCTGACTGCACCGAGGGATACAACAAATGCGCCCCTCCTCCCACAGAACCTGCATCATGAGATAGTCACCAGGATCTAAGGATCAAGGATCTGCCACTATCGGAGAAGGGGCACGTGCGGACCGCACTGAGAGCAGGATCTTCATTGACATATTCTGGTGAGTACCAGGATCACAAGGATTCGTATACGCCACTGGAGGGGCACGTGCTGACTGCCCCGAATGGAAAGAAGAATGTTCCCCTTCTCCCAGGCATTTTCACATAAAGAAGAAGCGACGTCATTGTCCTTTGGCAGGATCGTCGTTTCTTCCTCCACACGATTATGAACAGAATTATAACGATGTCGAAGTCGGAGATGTTGCAAAGAAGAGGTACCAGAGTCGGGAAACCAAAAATGCAAGCTGCATTTCTGCGGTTTCTTGGCTCGTGCCACTTGTCCATACACTGCCACAAAAAATGTTAAATGAGATTGTCCAAAAATGAAGCTCTTAATAGGTCTCAAAAGACTAAGGCCTTTTTGGACTTTATCTTAAAAAAGTTTTATAATTTCAAATCGAAACTTAGGGAAACTTGTTCTCAGTGCATCTCCTCCTTTTTTTTTTTGGATACTCGGCCAGCTGAGAATCGACTTTGTAATTAACTTGATGATCAGTTTTCGGTTGCAGCAACAGGAACAGCATCCCATAACCTATATCAAGTCAACGGTCATCCCCAACAAAGACTGGACAGCTGAAAACTGGTCTCTGTGGACTGGCCTCTGGACTGGTCAGTGTCCTGACTGCGTTCTGTCTGGCTCCAGTTCATCATCACCGCGTCACTGAGGCCGCGTGGCAAGAAGCGGTACCAATTAGGCGATCAATTATGACTAAATAGGCGCACCTTTCCCCCCACTCCCCTGGTTATTTATTCTCCCTTTTGAGGGGTCCCTTTTTTTCCGAGTGTTTTATGGACTTTGGATAACGCCCACAATCGGACAAATCATTGCGTAACTAGGTCGCGGAGGGATACCGACCGAAATTCGGGATGAGGCCCAAAACATCTGTCTCGACAATCTGTTGTCGAGTCGTATCACACCTTAAAATGTAGTAGGGGTTACACTTCAATCAAGAATTTAGTTAGGGGTTAGGGGTTTATTTTTAAAGTTAGAGAGAGAAATAAGGATGAAATACTAGCTATAAAAAAGACAATTTATGAGTCATAATTCTATAAGTTACCAGAAGAAGTAAAAATTTTAAAAAAATAAACAATTAAATTTTGAAATATAACTAGACTAGATTCATGATTTATTTTTCTTACTGTAACTCCCTTAAAGAGTAAGATATAAGCCTTAATTTTAACCTCTACATAAATCAGTTGAAACCCTTAACATCTGCTCTCCTATTTTTAGTTCCTTTTCTCACAACTTTTTTTAGTTTCTCATCATCGAAACATCTAAATATTATTTCCATTAAACAAATATATGTTTAGCAAATAAAAAAATATCCAAAAAAGTGGCAAACGTGGCAAAATATCAATAGAAACCCAAAACCCATCAAAAAAAAGGAACAACTACCACCCAGCAACGAAAACTAAGAGACGTGGGAAAAAAATCAAAACAAATAAAATAAAAAATAGCTGTAGGATTAATTAAGGATTGTAAAGTTTAAATAAAATAATACCTTTTAGGTGGATAAATGTTAAAGACTGTCATTAAACTTACAGCTGATTAAGGTAATTTATTTTTGGAAGTAGACTACGACCCCCTTTTTATGATCCTTTGTATCTGTTGTATCCCCCAAATCCCCAAGCCTCCAGAAAGCCCGCATAATGACTGGCCAAAAGTTGATTCGTCCTGCCTGGTCTTTTGGAACTTCAACTGACTGACTCCGAGGGGGTGAAGTTGACACCCGAGAAAGCCCACCGGCCACACCCACTTTGCCCTGCAATGACACGACAGGCCCTCGTCCCAGGTTCCTTTTATTTTATTTTTTTATCTATACTCTATGAAAGGGTATTATGATTATTTAAGGATGTCTAAGAATTTTAAAAAAACTATGTTTTTATCATAGTGATTATATATCTTTATCAAAATGGGGATAAAAATGCTTTATTATATAGATTTCTATAAAATAGTGTATTTTATAGTCAGTTTAGTGAAAAACTATAGCTTTTTTTGTCCTTTTTGTGTTGCCTTTGTGTGTGTCCTGGGCACCCACGCTTTTTATTTGTCCAACAAAAACAAACAAGCTGACAAACAATATGAAAGTTTCCCAGTGGGCGGAAGCCAGACCATCGCGAGTAATCTCCTGTATCTGTGTGAGTGTGTTTGTATCTTGTAGATACATTTCTACGGCCGCCAGTTGCACGTAATACAGCTGCCAGGCTGCTGCTGCTGGACACGAAAATATCGATCGAATAATATATGTATATAGTACACCACTATATATCCTTGTGAGTCATCCAGGCACTACTAAAAAAAAGTGCTAAGATTATCTTTGGTGGGTAGTTTAAAAATTAATGATAATAAATTAATAAATTATAATTAAGTTTTTAACAAGGGATTAGATTTTCTATATTTTTTTTAAGATATATTAATTGAAGTTCCTTCTAACGTTATCTTCTGCAAAACCTTATTATCTCTAAAACTCTTATAACCTTACTTAATCTCTAAAATATAGCTTCTTTTTCTTTCTCTACCTGGTATGTAGGTGCGGCTTGGAATCCTTCGAGAGAGCCATCTAGTGGCGGAAGACATAAAACAAGCCCACGGGGCAACCCTTTTCGCCGCCCAATTTCCCAGAAATTCTCGATTCTCAGTGCCTGTGCAGTGAGGCATATATCCGGAGCACTCCGCTCCTTATCTCACTCCAGACCCGCTCTCCCCCACTGGGCCCCGTTCCGCCCACTCCTCTAGGGGGTGATTTCAAGCCTTTACAGGACATGGCACTGAGAGAAATCAAAGGGTTTTTTTTAAGTATTTAAGCTAGAGTATAAAATAATTTAATATTAGGATAAGAAAGCTTATAATTTCTTAAAATCAAAATTTAGGTCTTTAGATCTGGATACCCTTTCTCTCAGTGGCCGGAAGGGCGACAGATTCAGGTTGCACACCTGTTCCGTTCTCTTCTGACCTGTCCTGTCCAGAAATCAATAAAGCCCGAATGCATCCAAAATGCAAAAAACTAAAAAGCCCGCCCACCAGACAATCCAAACAAAGAGCCAACGTGTCTCGAAAATAAAACTTTCTTTTTGAACTTTTTAAACAAATAAATAATATGTAATAATAATCAAAAAAAAAAAAAAACTCTAGCTGGTATTACAATAAATAAATAAATAGCAAAAAAAATTAGGATGGAAAAGGGGGGGTCCTTAAAGGATTCTAGGACACGAAACGCAGGTTGACGCGCTTACGGCCACCGAATTCTCCAAAGTTGCGACGAACCGCCTGGAGGACAGCCTCCTGGGCGGCAGGATCTACATCGCTGGCGTCGGATTCGGAAGCGGGAGCAACGGCGGCAACGGCACCATTATCCTTGGGGGCAGCTGGCGCCGAGTCCTGCGACTGACGGCCCAGGATGTTCCAGAAGGGACGGGGCGTGGTGGTGGTGGTCGTCGGCGGATCCTTGTTGATGTAAATGCAGTTAATGATGGGCTCGTCGCCGTAGAATTGGCGGTTCTTGTTGCCCAATCGACGGCGGCGTTGCTGCTGCTGGCGGCGGCGCTTCTGCTGCTGTTGCTGCTGGCGGCGACGCTTCTGCTGCTGCTGGCGGCGACGGCGACGGCGCTGGTCTTGCAACCTCTGCTGCTGTTGCTGTTGCTGCTGCTGCGGACGACGGCGACGGTAGCCGCCAATGTTGCTGCTGCTGCTGCTGCTGCTGCTGGGACGACGACGCTTGTTGCTGCTGCTGCTGAGGCTGCTGCTGCTGCTGCTGCTGCTCGGCTTCTTCTTCTTTCTACGGACTGAAGTGCTGCTGCTGATGCTGCTGCTGGATGGCTTCTTCTGCTTCTTCTTCTTGGGTTTCTTCTTATTCTTATCAGAAGAATTGCTCATCGAAGACTGGCTGGAAGTGTTAGAAGAACTAGAAGCCGAGGCAGAAGACTCTGTCATGCTGGAAGACTCGGGTTTCTTGATCACATCTACTGGCTTCACGGCCTGAAGTTGCTCCTCCTCCTCCTTGTCCTTTTGGTCCTTGGGGTCCTTCTTCTTGTCCTGCTGGTTCTTCTCGGGCTTCTTCTTCTGCTTCTGCTGGTTCTCAGCAGCCTGCTGCTGCTTGCGCTTCTTCTGCAATTGATTGCGATTCTTCTGGTTCTTGTTCTTCTGGTTCTTGTTCTTCTTGTTCTTGTTCTTCTGGCCCTGGTTGGGACGCTTGTTGGCCTGGTTGATAACGGGATGGATGTCACTGTCGTCCTCGCCGGTGCTCCAGTAGGCACTCGTGGTGACCGGGTTGATCTCCTCGATCACATGCTCGTCGTACTCGCCCAACGGATAGTAGCCGGTATGATCGCGATAGTAGTCGCTGCCGTAGTAGAAGTCGTCGTAGTCCTCCTCGTCGTAGTCATCCTCGTCCTCGTCCTCGGGCTCGTAGTCCCAGGGATGGACGAACGGATAGCCGGGCGTGTCAGCCTGGACGGGCTTCAGCTCGAAGACGGCATGGGTGTCGGGGTTGACCTTGGGGGGCTGATGCGACTGCACCACCACGATGCCGGCATCTCCGGCCACGTTGGCGTGAGAGGCGGAACTGGCCACCACACTGACTCCCTGGGCGAGATGGCTCTGGGAGGTCTGGACGGCGGGAGAGGCACCCGCTGTGGAGGCCAGGGGCAGGGCCAAAGCGGCCGGCACGAAGTTCGACTCCCCCTTGGGAGAGTTCACTGGCACATTTTCCTCCTCATCCTCAAAGTCCTCATCATCGTCCTCGTCATCATCCTCCACATTGGGCTCAAAGTGTACTCCAGTCAGAGCCACATAACGGTGCTTCACCTCCAGATCCTGGTCGCCCTCGCGATGCTCCTTGCCCGGCACGGCCTCCACCTTGAGGGGCTGGGAGGTGACCGAGATGTTGCGATTCGCGGTGCCGAAGGTGGTGAGGGCGCGAGAGTTCCTCTTCCGGCGCGTAACGACGCACTGGGACTGGCTGCCATCACCGCGCAGTTGACGTCCTTGGATATAGAACCGCTTCAGCTCGTACTCGTCCCCGTTCTCGTCCACCTCGATGAGGGTCTCCGAGGAGACCGTGGCCATCAGCCACAGACTGGCCAGAAGGAAGGCCCAAACACAACCGCCGCTCCGCCACATTTCGCTTTAACTAAAGCTGGCCAAGATGCGGCAGCGTCTTATATTAGCTCGCTTCCCCCTTTCGGACCTACGGAGACCTATTGACCCACACTTAATTACCAAAAATGGTAAATCTCTAAAAATCCCAATGCGAATTCGAATCAAAAAAATCCAAAAACCAAAAACAGTTTCCTATGAACCCGAAGGGGGCACTGAATTATTCATCAGCACCCCGGCTTTCTTCGCAGAACTTGTTTTCATATTTCTATGTTTTTTTCTTTTTTGTTTTTTTAGTTAGCCCCGCTAGGTAGCTTTCTGTCGGCGGGGTCAATGGATCGACGGGTCATTAATAACCCCAGCGAACTCATCGCGGTGATCGAGAAAAATCTGATCGAAGCGGGATGAAAGTTTTTGGCCAAAAAGGGCCTCGAGTGGGTCAGCAAGGTATGAATTCATAACTAGAAATGCACTGCCAAAAATAAGAGGGAAGTAGGGGTTATTAAAAATTATTATAAGAAGGAATTAGAAGGAATTATGATAAGTATAAGGAGAATTAAAAGTAGGGAAATGGCAGGGCTACTTTTAAGCTCTTTAGTTCTGGTATTATAAGTTATTGAAACTATAAGATATTATATTTTATAGTATTTAAGACATTCAGTATTTTACAGCATAGATAAGGTCCTCAAACTATGTATATGAATATTAATAGATTTCTTTAGAAAGCCTCCCCTTTTCTCTCTGTGTCTGTGAGCCCTTTTTTTCAGTGGAAAGTCGAACACGAGCTGACCGTTTGCATAAGTTGGTTGAATATTTTTTTAAAAATAGAACTCATACGCTTTTATTGACTAAATTTAAACCCGGTCACAATTGAACTAAGATTTATTTTCCAGACAACAAATGATTTATATATTTTCTACTTTAAAGCCACAAAAAAAAATCTCAGACAAAGGAGGAACAAAGACGATTGGCATTTTCAGACATTTTTCGCCACAAAAGGTTAGCTCACACGTGGTGTGAAAGTTCAGCGACAGTGAATAATATTCATAAAAACACAAAAATAAGCCAACAAGATAAATACCCTAAGAATTATAATAATAAAGAAAAATAAAAAGCCAAAGATGACTATCTAAGAAGTTAAAATAAATCTTTACTAAAATGAATTTATTTAAAGGCTTAAACCATTTAAAAAAATCAATATACTCTTCTAAAACTACAGGGTATAGAAAGCGAAATTGACCTTTGACAGAAATTTAGCAAAAAAGCAACAGATTTCTTAGCGGGATTTAGGTTTCTACGATTAATTTATTGAATTTTAAGAAAAAAAGGCCCCAAAGAAAGATGGCCAACAAAAGCCAATAAACATTCCAAATCACAGCTTGAACTGTGTATCATTTTTTTTTTAAGTTTTAGCTTAAAATAAAATGTAAAAAAATGTAAAAGGGCAGTTCAGGCTGTTCGCATTTATGGTTCACTCATTTTGCATGCCAATGAAGAATCATAAATTTCCACGGCCAAGAGGAGCCTCTGGCCAAATAGTTGGCTTGTTTTGGGTGTGATCCAGGTTGCCCCAAAAAAGCCACAATTTTCAGATAAAAAAAAATTAACAAAAACAAAATAAAGAGCTGAAAAAATTAAAAAAAAACTAAAAATGTAATCTATTAAACAGTAGCAACTAAAATAGTGCCACCAGTAGCTGAAACAAGAATTTCGACAAGCGCCCCAACTTGTTAACTGATATTTCGATATCAAGTGCTGATTGCGATTACAACCTAACAAAAACAACAAAAACAAATTGTTAACAAAAAAATAGACAATTCTTACCTGAAGAAAATCAGCAGCTGAGTTCACCAAACGATTGGTAAGTATTTCTTATATTTTTATCAGAATCAGCCTCTGTTCTCAGTTCTCAGTCCTACTCGGGCCTCGAGTCTTCGGTGTTCGGGCCACAATCTGTCATCGACCCAATTCGATGTCGAGACATCTGCCGCAGTGCATACAATATTATATAGTACAGATACAGTGCGTACACACACGAGTGTACGCGCCAAGAGCTTTTTTTCCACGCCAGCCGGAGGCGATCGTATCGTTGGCTGAAGAGACTTCTTGAAGAGACCATTGTCCAAATCGGTTCGAAATGAGCTTGTGGACAGTGAGTGCCATTAGAAGGGGTCTCAATAGGGACTTTATATTATATATAAGGTGGATATATATTTAGGTATTTTTGAGGTAGTTTTTAGAATAAGTTAAAAGGGTTATATAGCTTAAGGTTTTTAATAGAAGTATTAGGTAGTAGAGGTTAGTAGAGGAGGTTAGGTAGGTTTCTGGTAGGATCTGGTTTCTTCAAGTCTTACTTTTCATCAATATTTTAAAAAGACAGGATGATATCTTGTAGTTCCCACTGTCTTGGCACTCGACAAACCCAATACCCCAAAACCTTAAGGCCCCAAACCCAAACCCCCACACCATAACACACCCAATGCGACCTACGCAAAACATAGGATTGGATTGGCTCACCTGCAATCTCAAAGAAATAAATATATATATTCAAACATATATCTATACATACAGATACAGATATATATCTTTTCCACCTCGATCTGGCTGATCGGTATAAAAATTGACGCACGCAGCTGGAAAGTGCGTACACGCAATTAGAATTCCATTACGCATTCCAGTTGCCGGCCCACTAATTTCTTCTCATTTACATGGTCCCCCCCTACCCCTTTTGAGGGGGCGTGGCACTTAAGGGGGGGGTGTGCTGACATACACTTTCTAACAAAGCCAAGCAAGTGCATAAGGTTGAATGAAAAAAGCAAGACAGCATCACACTGATGGGTTAAATAGAGGCCATAAATAAAGAAGTTTCATTTGCATTTCTTGGATTTATTCAAACGAAATAATAAAGAGGAGATAACACCAAGTATTTACCATGAATTGACTTCTTTTTTTTTTTGGTTTTTGGTTTTTGGCCACTTTCGTAGCGGGCACCAACGGAATTTATAATTAATTCGTGCATTAAATTTTTGGTTACATTTTTTTTGTGTCTTTTTTTTTTCCGCACAAAAATCAATAAGTTATATGTGAGAGTTTCTGTTAATGAGATGCATGATATTTCGCATTTTTAATTTTCTTTTATTAATTTTTTGTATTTCGCCATTCAGGAATGTGCTGACACAAATATGCCAAACAAATTTCAAGTTAGTTATTTTTTTATGGCCCTAAACGAAAGACATTTCTTGAAAGAAAATCTCAAAAAACTGGTTTTCCAAGACGGAAGAAATCACAGAAAAATCCAACCAATGGGATGCTGCAACTGCAACTGTGGCAGCTGGGCACAAAATGGCGGAAAGTGCATTTTTATTTTGGGATTCCAAAAGTCTTACAAACTAATTCAATCAACAAATTGTATTAATATGTTTCTGAAAATCTAATATACAAACTGCCATAATTTTTCCATTTAAAAAAATCCTTTTTTTGTCAAAATTTTATTTAATAGCACAGACTACAAATTCAATTTGTTAGAAATTTAAAATTCTTCTTTTTTCAAATTTGAATTTCGCGCTCTGAGGCACTGTTATGGCCACTGTTAAGTGTTTAACATAAGTAACCAGCAACGCCAGAGGGCGCTAGCGCCAAATCATCGATAAATTTTCCATTTTTTTGGCGCTTTCCATTTTTAAGGGTTTTCCCCGAAAAAAATTAGACTTAAGACCAGAATCTAAAGTATCTGGAAGACATTCATCATGCCCCGTGGTAAGTTCGTCAATCACAAGGGCCGCAATCGACATTTCACATCGCCCGAAGAGCTGCGTCGCAGCTCTGAAGATTCTGAAGAAAACGAAATAGATGATTCTACAAAAGAGCCAAGAAAGGATAAAGACACGGATTCGGATCCTGAAGAACTCTCCTCCGACTTGCCAGAGGCAACAGTCCGAGTGGAAAAAAAAGGAGTAGCAGCTCTAATTGAGATCGAGAATCCCAATCGTTTGTCCAAGAATACATCCGCTCAAGGAAATGGAGGCGCTGTCCCCAAGCCCGAGCTTTCCCGCCGCGAACGTGAGGAAATCGAGAAGCAGAAGGCTCGACGAAGATACGAGAAGCTTCATGCCCAGGGAAAGACGACCGAGGCGAAGGCGGATCTGGCCCGATTGGCGCTGATCCGACAGGAAAGGGAGGCAGCTGCCGCCAAAAGAGAGGCGGAGAAGAAGGCTCTGGCCAAGAGCTTGGACGCCCATTAGAAGAGGCATTCCACTCCAAATTCGATCTGTAAAGTATTGAAAGGAAAGCTGGAGGTGTTGTTGTAGTTTTAAAATTTAAATTCAGAAAATATATACATTAAACAGCCCTTATTTTCAAAAATACGATGGCTCTTACTTCTAATTTGCTTCTAATGATAGAAAGTTTAAATAAAATTTTTTAATATATGCCTCAATATTTTTTAAATTTATTTATCGATAGGCGGCAATACTTCAGAAAATATCGATATTTCATCCGGTCACACTTTTGCCGGGTAAACAGCTGGGACCCGAGTGGGACCATTGCCGGAAAATCGTTTGTATTTACCAGAGACTCCCATAAACCCACTATCCGCTCAATCTTGTCAAGATGCGCCTCTGCCCTGTGGTCGTCCTGCTGGGCTGCCTCCAGGTGCTCCTGGCCTGCAACCATTGGGTGCTGCGCGAGGAGCAGATCGTCCCCAAGCTGGACTCACCGTTTCACATGCGAGAGCCGCAGAATCTGGCGGCATTTATGGAACAGATCCGGTACAGCGAGTACGTGGAGCGCTCCTACCTGGACCTGCTGCGCAAGCGGGAGCAGATTGTCGAGCACTTGCGCTTCTCCATGCGCTTCGGCGAGGACCTGGCCGAGCAGGCCAAGTGCGCCATGGACTACTACATGCTGGAGAAGAGGATGTCCTACCTGAAGATCACTCCCGAGCAGCTGAAGAGGATCAACCTGCCAGAGCAGAGGGAGCTGCACCACCAACAAGGCGGCTCGGGCGGCATGGAGCCGGTGTGCAGCGACTACCACAAGCTGTCGGTGGGTCCCGCCACCTACGATCACCTAGACAGCTTCCGACCGGAGATCCTGGCCACGGCGTATGTGGAGCAGGAGCATGACCCGAATGTGGGAACGGCAACAGTGGAACTGACGCGCCGATTTGCGGTGGACGGCTTGAGGCATCATCCCTCGTCCTGGAAATTCCACACCCTGAGCTCCTACTACTGGCGGATGAAGGGAAACGCCAAGGAAGCCCTGCCCTGTGCACGACTGGCCGTCCAGCTGGCACCGCCCATCTTCAAGGACATTCCGCTGCTCAGCCTAGGCACCATACTCTTCCGGATGGGCCGCCTGGCCGATGCGGACACCATACTGACCGCCGCCGTGGAGCACGCCCCCCAGGTGGCCGAGAACCATGTGGTGCTGGCCTCCGCGTTGGCCATGAAGCACGACTTCAATCGCTCACTGCAGCACTTCGACGAGGCGGAGCGCCTGGATCCCAGCACCTTGCCGCGCACCCAGCAGGTGCGGAACTTCATCACCTGCCTGGAGAACCTCACCAAGAAGACCTCCAAGATGTACAGCTACGTGAAGTACATGAAGAACGAGGTGAAGGAGTTCAAGAAGCTGAAGCAGCACATCTCCCAATCACACGAGCGCCTAATCCAGCAACAGCTGCCATTAGGGGCGCGCCGCTTGCTGGGATTGGATCCGCAGTCGGGCAACGATGACCTCCACCGGCGGGGTCAGTACTGCAGCACTCGGACGCCCAACGGTTCGGACGAGCCGGTGCTCTTCTGTGACTTCTACTCGGACATGCAGATGCGGCTGGAGAGCAAGGACGTCGACATCGATGTACTGGAGCGGGATCTGAAGGCCAATACGGACGCAGTCATCCGCCAGGTGTCCACCGAGATTCGTAAGCAATTCAATCTGGAGCAACTGAAGGCCGCCAAGGCCCAGATGCCGGCCAAGGCTACCAAGGCGACGTAGTGGGTCACCGAATCACCGAATCTAGTCTGCAATATACATATATCTCCGGCTGGACAGGCACATTCCCAAACCAAATCGGGTTACCAACTAATTAGCTTTTACTTTTAATATGTTTAGTGTTTTTTTTTTGTCAGTGTATGTTGAGAGTGTGTGTGTGTGGGTGTGTATATAAGCGATAAGTATATGGAACCGCAATACTGGATAAGTCTTCAGGTATAGATTAATCCAACTAGTCGTCATAAGAAAGGATGTTTCACATATTTTATGTTGTTCCAAGGATCTTAGTGTTTAGTTTATAAAACAGACCCTAATTTTTGTTTTTTTTAAGAGACCTTACTAGCTTTAAAGTTAAAAGTTATGGCTATAAAAACCATAAACCTTAATAAATATCATACTAATAACGATAGAAATCTATTAAAATTATATAACTTCCTAGTAAGTATTAAATATGGCTTTGTTTTTATTAATACATCTCTAAAAATTAACTAAAAAATAATACAAAAATTAAATCACATTTCTTATAATTTCAACAAAAACTAAAGATAACTACAGCCATCAAAAATCAAGTATGTGGGTCAAGCACCGTTTGGTTGTCCTTTCGGAATCCCAGATCCTACTCTGGAGGTCACCAAGCAATCTCCTTCGTCTCCAGAGCTTTCAGCAGATCGGATAGACTGCTAAACGAATGCTTGGCAAGATCTGTTCGTTCGCCGGCTATCAGCAATCCACTCCAGCCGCTGTTCCTGGCACCCGTGTAGTCCATGTCCATCTTGTTGCCGATGTGCAGGGCCTGTTCCGGCCGGATGTTGAGTCTCTGGAGGGGGATTTTGAAGATGCCGGTGTCCGGCTTCATAACGCCCGCCTCGTAGGACGTCAGTACGAAATCGAACTTGTCCGCAAAGCCCATGGCGGCCAGAACCTGGGACAGGGACGGATCAAAGTTGGAGATCACACCCACATGCTTGCCGGCTTGTCGGACGCACTGCACCAGCTCCTGGGCGCCCTCAATGTGACCCCAGCACTTGCTGGTGCGGAAAATGGTGATCAAGCGACGGCCAATCGTCTCCAGCTGCTCGGTGGACACTCCCGGACTGGCGCAGGTGAATGTGCGGGCCACCAGCTCCAGCCACCAGTTCTGCCAGCCCAATCCCGGCGAGAGTCGGCCAAAGTTCGGATATTCCCGGCTCATGGCCGAAAAGCTTTGGCGGAAACATCGCTCCAGCTGGTTGCGGTCCAGGTCGGTGATGCCACATTCCGTTGCCGTTTCATGGTATTGTCGCAGCGGGTTCTCCAGGCGTAGCAGTGTATCCGTTACATCGAAGGTTACCAGCCGGAAACGTTTCAAATTCTTCAAAAACTGCGAAGGCAACGACATTTTGGCGGCCAGTGTGACCACTTCTTTAGAGTGATTATGTGGGGACTACTGCATATATTCGTACAGTGTATTGATATATAATTTTAATATATATTGTTTTTTCGCATTCCAAACTTTACTTGTTTGAAAATTGAATGAAAATAAATAAAACTTTTATGTTTTTAGCTTAAAATTTGTTTGCTGTTAGTAAAAGTTTTATTATAATCAGATTTTAATAAATGTCATTTTATAATATATCAGCATTTTATTAATTTTGACATTTAAAAAATTAAAATAGCCAAAACTGTTGAGAATTGAGCTTTTTTAATCGATTTTAATATCGATACTTCGATTTATTGTTCTTCGACTTAACAACACTGAACATTTACAGTATTTGAATCTCGTTTCCCGCCATAAACTTAAATTTCGATAGGTCAGTATGGCCAGCCCAAAAAAAGCTATCGATAGTTCTCATCAGAAATCAATGTGTCTCCACCTATTCTTATTGGGATTGGGTGGTTACCCCGCCAACGGTCACCCTAAACGAAAATAAATTTGTTTTTGCCAACAACAAATTGTGTTGTTAAATGGCAGAGCAAACAGACGACTACGCTTCGTCGCCTCGCAGCTCCGTAATCCTCGCTCATCTGGCAGCCAGCCACCGCGGCAGTTAATACCCGTCGGATAGCAGATCTCAGTGGGTTCTAGGCTCGACTCGGCTCGGACACACGGTACTCAGTTACGTGAACAGTACGGCTGATTTTGGGATCCGGATTGTGCGTGGCGATGCAAGGATGAACGTACGCAAGCGGCCACGTCTGGAGCTGGAGCTAGCCACATCGGCGGTAGCTCCCGGAGCACTGATCACCAGCCACAATCCATCCGATCTGATGGCCGGACCATTTGCCAACGGCCAAAGCCTGATCCTGACCAGTACGTCGGGAAATCCGCTGATCAGCAGTAGCAGTGGTGGTGGTGCCCAAATATTCCTCACTATTTGCGGTGAGGAGAACTCCTTGGATGACGACGAGTCCCAGGAGTATTATGCCATTAAACAGGAGCCGGGCTCTGAACTGGATGTCCAGGCTCTGCTGCCCACCAACCTGCAGCTGCCAACCGGCTGTGAGATATATCTGGTAAAGGACACCAGCCTCGGGTGTACCCAGACCAAGTCTACCATTAAAATTGAACCGGAGGTGCTGAGTGAGAAGCTCCATGTCGCCACCACGACAGCCACCAGCACCACCACCACAATTCCTTCCTGTAAATCTTCCGTTCCTGCAGTGCCTGCGGTGGCGTCTGCACCCCATACAGCAGCAGCAGCACCTCCAGCCCCTGCAGTGGTGCTATATCAGCGATCTCCAGTAGATGCGGTTGCTGCAGCCGTTCCTGCCTGCTCTAGTAGCTCTACTGGCACGCCCACCAGCAAGCTGGAGGCGTATAAGAAGCGAGACGATAAGCGCCGTGCGACGCACAACGAAGTGGAGCGTCGCCGTCGCGACAAGATCAACTGTTGGATCTTCAAGCTCAAGGAGATGCTGCCCAGCCTGAGCTCCAGCTCCAGCGAGGCCAGCACAAGTCCCAGCAGCAGCAGCAAAAGCAATCCCAGTCCCAGTGGACGGACGCCGCCCAACGACTCCAAGTCCCAGATCCTGATCAAGGCCTGTGACTACATCAAGAGCATGCAGGGCGAGATTGATACGTAAGTAGAAGTACTGGGCTTATGATTTATCTGGAGGGTATTACCAGATGACTCAGTAACGCCTTACAATGTACATCCCGCTTATCGGACTACATGACTCGTTTTCTCTGTTCCCATAGATTGCGCGACTGTCTGCGGGAGGCGGACAGCCTGAGGGCTAGCAACCAGGCCTTGAAAGAGGAGCTGGACCGTCTGAAACGTCAGCAGCAGCTGCAGGATCGCTTCCACACGGCTGCCACCGGACGATCGACCTTCAACGTGACCCTCAATTCGTTAAACACCTCCGCCACCAGTGATCTGTTCGATGGCATCGATACGACGCCCAATCTGGCTGCTGTTTCCTCGCTGGGATTCGGCAAACGTGGCCTGCTCATCGGCGACTATGATGAGTAAGAGTATAAGGAGCATCAGTGGTTGAAGGCGGATCGGAGCAGGCAAGGCGGCGGGCGGATCGGAGCGAGAAGCGCTGGCGCCTCGAAATCTAGAGAATAATACGCCCATCCACCAAAGAATGACGTGCAACGTACACGCAACGCAACACATGCAGTACAATAAACGGACATGACGAGTGATTTCTTGTTATCGCCGATGTTATATACATATTATAGTTACAAAAAAAAAAAGAAGAAAACCAAAAGAACCGAAAAAAAAACATGTACGCTCCGTACATGGGGTCGAACTTGGGTGACTCAAGCCGAGTTGCGTTGAAAGCTGTTCTTAATTGAATTTAATTAGATGGCTTAAAAAAAAAATGCAGCTGCTTGTAGCATCCGATATCGCACCCAAACAAAATCATTTACTTTTTTTTTTTTAGCCATTAAATTATCATAGGTTTTGGCCATTTTTATTCACGAATGAATTTATTTTAAGAAAATCAAGAGCATGTTAGAGATGTAAGGATTCATTTATAATTAGCATTAAAAAACCAGTTAAATCATTTGCAAAATGTTTGATAAAAAATTAATTATATTGTTTAGATTTGTTAATCTTGTTATGCGATTTTAGGCTGTTCTTTTTGAATTTAATCATTATACGGAGTAGTTTCTTAATATTTTTTATGTAAGGCTCATCCTCATGCCTCATGCCGGTTTTTTTTCCATCATTATATAGTATATATGTACGGATATATATATATATATATCTACCTACTTACCTAGACTTAAATACCTTTACTAAACCGTTAACGATACCTACCTAATTATATATAAAATATATATATATATATAAAATCCCCCTCAAAAAATTAACTCATATTTGGAGCATATATATATGCGGATATCCGATTTTTGTCGATTTTCGATTTATACTGTTTCTCGCACTAATTACCTTCAACTAAAAAAAATTGTAACGATATCTAGTTAAATCTAATATATATATATATTATATATATATATAGCCCCGCATATGTACATATGTAATGCAATTTATAACCTGAAACGAAATAGAAAGAGATGAAAAGCGATGAAGTTGTGCGGCACAGATTGTTGATATATGCCATATATAGTATATATATATAGTTATCCGATGTGTGTTCAAATCGGATCAAAAATAGAGAAAAGGCAATGATTAATATTTAGCCGAAATTGTTGTGAATTGTGAATGTTATATCATTGTTTTCGATATACGCTGTTTCAGACACGATATGGTACACACCAGATCCAAATGAATAACGTTTTATATACTAAATAGTTAAAAAATACGATATATGGTAATTTTTACTTAAATTTAAACTTAAAACAAATGCCAAAAAAAAAAAAAAAAACGAAGCATCAGCCATAAAAATTGTTACAAAAATAAGAGAAAATAATTATTATCAAAGAATGTGAGGGCGTGAGGGAGTTGCATTGTTTCGATCCATATATATATATATATATATATATATACCCATATATAGATCCAAAGAAAACCGATTACACTATATTATATATGGGAGTTTTGTGTTTCTTGTTGCTATCTATATACAATACATACAATAATATCACATTTCTGTCATTTGACAGCTAATAATTCTATTCAATTTCAATAAACGAACTCAATAATGGTTAACACGAAACATTCAAACAATTGATTTCCCATTTACGATATGCGGGCGGGTCGGTCTTTGAATTTCAGTGCCAAGTCCACTAGTCCTCCAGTCCACCAGTCCACCAGTCCCCCAGTCCACCAGTCCACATTCCCAGCCGGCTAGACAGGAATCTGAATCCGAATCTGGATCTGGAAATTTTTTGCTTATCGACGCAACTTGAGGCTCCAATAAGCCGAGAATATCATATTGTGGAGGGCTGAATGGGCAGATTTTGGATGGGGGAATACTTCCTATGAACAAAGGCTTCGAATTATTTATTTATTTGACTTTTATTTCAGCTTTATTGGCGCTGGGAAGGGGATCTACGATGGGACTTTGATTTTGTTTATAGTTTGTTGTTATTTTTTTAAAGATTCTTTGCTTTTTAGTTCTTAGTTCTTCCAATTCTTAGAATTAGATTTTCTTTAATTTAATTTTCTATATATAATTATATTTCTTTATCATAAGAAACATTTTTTATCACTATATGCTATAAATTATAACTTTTTTAAAGAAAACTTCTGATAGGCTTCTTTTAATTAAATATTTAAATATTCCTTATTGTAAGTATTTTAATATATTTGTTTATAGAATTAAGATCTTTTGAGTTTAATTATATATTTTGTTTTTTTTTAGGAAACTGGCCTAAAAGCTTTAGTTTCTTAGGCCTATTAATTTTAATGCTTTAATTTCCATTAACATTATTCATTTCCCTTATTAATTATTTGTTTTTATGTGTTGCCTTAATTAAAGATTTTATTTATTGACAAGCATTTTATTAAAATCTTAATTAGAGATTTTAGTTATTTAGTTATATAAGATCATTAGTTATTTTAATCCTTATTTCTCAGTTTCCTTCTTAAATTCTTCCTCAGTTTCCTTCTTGAATTCTTCCTTAGGTTTCTTTTCAAGTTTCTTCTCAGTTTCTTCATCAATTTCCTTCTTAGGTTCTTTGATATCTTCACCCAAAAGCCTGGCATAGTCCCCAACATGGAGCAAGCCGTGCTCCAAGGAGGCAATATGCAGATTGGCGGCGTTCATGTAGTCTTTGTTGATGTGAGGATTCTGGAGCTCCGCCATCAAGGTGGAACAGGCAGCGGCCGAATCTGAATCGCCCTGCAGCGAGCCCTGCGGAAAAAGATGGTATGAGAAACTTGAAATCCCCTCCAGAAGCAAAACTCACAGCCCAAAACTCATTGCCCGGCAAGGCGTTTCCATCCCCGCCATACGTGACCACCAGAAGCATGTCCTCTAGCAGCTTGTCGTGGCCATTGCGACGCGAGTTTTTGAACTTGATGCCGCCCTTGGGATGCTTATCGAAGGGCAGGAAAGCACCATCGTAGAGGCCGCCCACACGGGCGCAGTGGAACCAGGCGAAGTGCACCACTCCGATGTGGTTCAAGCGGTCGCCCAGCCCGCGCAGGGTCTCCTCGAAGGCCTCGAAGAAGGTGCGTTCCTGGTGTCTGGCCGCCTTCCAGATACCTAGGCCGATGGGAAGCACATGGACATAGGCCAGTTTCCGTGCCCGGGTGGCTCTGGCCTGCGCCTCCAGCAGCAGGGTCTCAAAGGTGTTCCTGTACCGTTTCCGCATCACCTGGTGATCGAAGTAGCCCCCGTTGACCTTCTCAAAGCGCTGAAAGTCAATCTCGTTACCTCTGAACTCATCATAGAGGAAGTCCTTTGGCTCCTCATAGAATTCTCGCCAAATGCGACGAAGATTTATCGGTCCGGTTGTTATCTTATGGTCACCATATCCTCGGCTTAGGATGTTTTGTTCTTCGGTTATCTTTATGTCCTGATAATCCATTACGAAGGGTCTTTCGAAACGGGCTCCGATCAACCCAATGATCACGCCCTCCAGCTCGATAGTACTCTTGTCCAAGAGCTTCTCGCCGGCATTGTCCTTCGATCCGTCGTTGATGAACTCCGTGCGGGTGGAGAAGTACATCAGGGCAGACAGCTTAATCTCGTCATAGCTGAGCACCTCGTTCATGGTTAGTCCTTTCTCCTCATTCTCTGTTCCCACTGCCTCAAATCCGGCAGATCCGTCCTCGAGTTCCATTGTGCAGTACTCGTCTTCGTCTCCAAGAAACCAGATGCATCTCTTGGTCATTAGACGTTGGACGAAGTCGATGAGGGTCATGCCCTTGTAGATCTTGAGCTCCTTTTCGGTGCCTGGAAGAGATACATTTTTTTATGAGGATCTATAATGGGGATAGTACTTTATGAAAAATGAGAGGTTCGGATCAGCATTCGGATTATTTAGAAAGGAGTTACAAAGGTTCCAATTTTAAAAACATAAATCTTGCAATATACAACTATATACAATTATATACAATATATACTATATTACATACCAAACTTGAGCTTGTGTTCCAGGAACTTGATGTACAACTGAAGCGTCTTCTCGTGCATCACCGGATAGGCAGATGCGATTTGCCTCTTGATGGCGTCCATTCGGTCCGCCGGTTGGGACTTAACCCGGCACGTGTCAACGGGTGTCTTGGTGGAAAATATTTCTTAAAATAATAAATTATTGAAAAACCAGCTATATTTACATACCTCGCAAGGAAATGCTTGAGAATGTTCATAAAATGCATCTAAATTCACGGGAATCTTCGGTTTCTTTAGATCGCGCAGTTCCTTCCATATATTTTTAATAAAATCCGGATTTACGGGGCTTAAATTGATGGCAGAGCCTTTTGAGGCCGAAACACAAGAATCACCCATGATCAGAAAATGGATTTGGTCTATGGATGATGATTTTTCTGTGAAAAAAACTGACAACTGGAATGAAACGAAATTCTGCAAACTCCACGCGCTTTCAAGTTTCGAATGGAATTCGATAGTGTTATCGATATATCGTATGGTAACGGCAACAAATCGTGACGAAAACTTGACAATGGCGAACCTAACCTCATCTTAATTTGGAATTGAAAAATATATTTTATATATTTTTATTTTAGTTGCTTTGTATTAATATTAATTGTATTATTTGAATTTGAATTAAAATTTTTAATAAAATAGCTACAATATTTCCAAGAAAATTCTTTTTTTTTACGATCTTCATCTTCTTCATTTCCCGACAGTGTTGAATAACAAAAACAAAAAAACAAGTTATGCTTTTCATAAAACTAAGTTCTTCTAAAACATTATTTAAAAAAAAACTATTTATTTTATTTGCTTAAATATTTTATTTTTCCTTTTTGAAATTTTTTAAAAGACATATCACCCAAAAAGTCGATGTAAGGTATAAAACTTTACAAAATTTATAAAATACATATATTTAACAATTTTGGAAAAAATTGCAAATCTCACTTCTGGCCTGCACTCAACAGTCTAGCATAGTCCCCAACATGGACCAAGCCGTGCTCCAAGGAGGCAATATGCAGATTGGAAGCATTCATGTAATCTTTGTTGATGTGAGGATTCTGGAGCTCCGTAATCAAGGTGGAACAGGCAGCGGCAGGATCTGAAGTGCCGGCCAGCACGCCCTGCAAAAAGAGAGAGTAAGAGTGACTAAGATACTAGTAATCCCCTCCAGACCCAAAACTCACAGCCCAAAACTCATTGCCCGGCAAGGCGTTTCCATCCCAAGCATAGGTGACCACCAGAAGCATGTCCTCTGGCAGCTTGTCGTGGCCATTCCGACGCGAGTTTTTGAACTTGATGCCGCTCTTGGGATGCTTATCGAGGGGCAGGAAAGCACCATCGTAGAGGCCGCCCACACGGTCGATGTGGAACCAGGCGAAGTGCACCACTCCGATGTGGTCCAAGCGCTCGCCCAGCCCCCGTAGGGCCTCTTCGAAGGCCTCGAAGAAGGTGCGTTCCTGGCCGTTGGCTGCTTTCCAGACACCCAGACCGACGGGAATCACATGGACGTAGGCCAGTTTTCCCACCCTGGTGGCTCTGGCCTGCGCCTCCAGCAGCAGGGTCTCAAAGGTGTTCCTGTACCGTTTCCGCATCACCTGGTGATCGAAGTAGCCCCCGTTGACCTTCTCAAAGCGCTGAGAGTCAACCTCTTTCCCCTTGAAGTGATCATAAAGGAAGTCCTTTGGCTCCTCATAGAACTCTCGCCAAATCCGACGAAGATCCGTCGGTCCGGTGGTTGAGTTCTGGTCACCATATCCTCGGCTTAGGATGTTCTGTGTTGCGGTTATCTTTATGTCCTGGTACTCCATTACATAGGCTCGTTCAAAGCGGGCTCCGATCAGGCCGATGATCACGCCCTCCGGCTCGATGGTGCTCCTGTCCAGGGGCACCCCGCCGGCATTGTTCTTCGATCCGTCGTTGATGAACTCCGTGTGGGTGGAGAAGTACATCAGGGCAGCCAGCTTCATCTCGTCATAGCTGAGCACCTCGTGCATGGTTAGTCCTTTCTCCTCATTCTCTGTTGCCACTCCTTCAAATCCACCAATTCCCACCTGGCGTTTCATTGTGCAGTAGTCGTCCTCGCTTCCGTAGAACCAGATGCATCTCCGGGCCATCAGCCGTTGGACGAAGTCCATGAGGGTCATGCCCTTGTAGAACTTGAGTTCCTTTTTGGTGCCTGGAAGAGATATATTCTTTATAATCGGGTTAGTATTTCATGAATAATTAGAGCTAATCAGCATCCGGATTATTCAGAAAGGAGTCACAAAGGTTCCAGTTTAAAAACCATTACTAATTCAAAATTGGAAAAATATATACCAAACTTGAGCTTGTGTTCCAGGAACTTGATGTACAATTGGAGCGTCTTTTCGTGGATCACCGGATATGAAGATGCGATTTGCTGCTTGATGGCATCCTCCCTGGCCGCCGGTTGGGACTTAACCCGGCACGTATCAATAGGAAACTAGGCGGGAATTACTTCCGAAATAAAAGATAATTGAAAACCCAGTTTTAATTACAAACCTTATGAGGAAAATTCTCAGACACGGCTTTAAATTTTTTGAAATTCACCGGGGTGTCTGGTCTTCTCAGATGGCGCAGTTCCTGCCATATTTTTTGGCTAAATTCCGGGTTCACGGAGCTCAAACTGGCGGCAGAGCCATATGAGGAGGAAACGCAGGTATCAGCCATGATCAGAAGTAAGGATCTGAGAAGGGTTCGTCTATGCATGTGGAGTAAATTCCAACTGAATTGAAACACAAAATTAAGAAACCCAAAAGCTTCCCTTTTTCTCGAAGGGAAAACGATTATTTTATCGATATATCGAATGGTAATCGCAAGAAATCGTGACAAAGACTTGGGAAGGGCGAACCTTCTAACAATTTTCTTAATTTTAGTTTATAATTAATAAACATATATATATAATTTATATAGAAATCTTCTAGAGAACTTAACAGTTTTCTTATTCTCTTATAATTTAAAAAAATTGTACAATATTTTGTTTCCCATTTTTGTTTTGTTTTTTAGTTTTTATTTTAATTACAAAAGGAATAATTTGTTTAAATTAATCTGAGACAGAAACACCTCATCCTCAAGCACACATCATCGCAACTTTTCATTTATTCTCCGCAGGATTATCCTAGATTTTGGCCAGGATTACACAACGCGCTTCACCTCGAAGAAGCGTTTCAGGTAGTAGACCTGGCCGACAGTCATCAGGACCAGGACGAGGGCCTCGAACGTCGACCACAGAACGACCCGGGAGTTGGTGCTCTCGTTGACCGAACGATGGATCTTGTCACGAACCTGCAAGTGAAGGGAAAAATATGAGTACTGGTATACTACGCTGCCATGTCGGAGGTCAAATCTTTAGATGTGGCACGTTTAGTTTATGTGGCGGACAGTCCCCAACTTCAAAAATCCCCCAACTCACATGCATGTACTCCTGTTCGTGCTTGACACTGGTCAGAGTGCCGGACAGTTCACGGATCATGTCCTCCAGCTTGGTGTGGCCCACTTCCTCCTCGCCGGGTGCGCCAGGAGCACGCTGTGGGGCATCACCCACATCGATCGAGAACATGACCAGCTTGGGGGTCATGCTGCTGCGCTCGTTGTTGAAGCAGACGGTGTAGGTGCCCTTTGAGGGCGCCACGAACGTGTACTTGCCGGAAGACTCCTTTTCGCTCTCGTGCATAACATGATTGTCGGGGCCGCTGATTTTGATGTCCACGTCCAGGAAACCGCCGTCAATCACCTCAAAGGTGACGCCTGTCAAGAAAAAAGCAAAATCCATTAATCCCCAAACAACCTTCGCGTAGTGGCGCAGCAATCTTACCAAACTTGGTGCCGCCTTCCACATTCTCGAAGAAACACTCTTCGTTGTGGGCATCCACGCTGACAATGAACGCGCTGCCGTTTCTGGCAAGGATCAGCAGGCTGCCCAGCAGAAGCAGCAACTTGGCGAGCATCGGTTGCATCGTGGTTTAGGGTAAACGGCCAGTAAAATCGTAAAAAATTTACTTAATTTTGGCAGCCACGTAGCTGTCGAGTTGTTTGCCTGTCGGGAGCTAGAGATGAGAGCGCTCGCCGTCTATCGATAGTGCAAAGTGCTGCCACTGTGTCAAAATTTATTGGCTATCAAAATCTAGCTATTTTTTTAGCTATCGATAGTTGGTAAAAAAAATTTAATATTTTTCTTTACTCTTTTATTTAAGCTTCTGTTAAAAAATACTATAGTTTTCTGCTGCTTCCTATTTTGGTTCTTTGTAAGTGAATCAAGGTTAAAAATCATGGTTAATATTATGGTTATTCCCTTATTTTCGAAAGAACTCCCTTATTATTAACAATTACACGTTTATAGTTTGGCGGAAAACCGTTACCAAGAACGGTAATAAGTGGGATATTCAAAAATAATCATTTAAAACGTTGAAAACTTTAAATTCAAGCAGTGAACTTGAACTGGTTCCGTTTTTGGCGCCCCATATATCGATAGCACGATCGGGTGTGGATACACTCCCTCAAATTGGGGCCACAGCTATCGATATCCTTGTGTGTCCCATTCCCCACACTCCAACATCCCGCCGGTTCGTACCATTTCAATTCAATTCAATTTCAATTGCCAAGCCCCACGGATGCTGCGCGGATGATAGCTCCAAAAAAACTAAATCCCGAGACTCGCGAACGAAAACACCCCAATAAATCCAGCCAACTCGCGGTTTTTCAAGTGCATTTCGGCCAACCTAAAGGCAACGAATTTATTTATTTACTTATTTTTTTTTTGTGAGTGACGGTTTAATTGGTGTCATAACAGTTTCGAAATATTCCGGTCGTCCAGTTGATGGCAGAACGCTCCTTCCCAGAACGCTCTCAACAACCAATTCACCAGCCATGGCCAGTGCCCCAAAGGAGGCCGGAGCCACGTGCGCGCGGCTTCTGTACGATATCCTGAATCAGGAGTCCCCGCAGCAACATTAGCGGTCTCCAAAGTGCCATTATCGTAATATCGCATTCGCATAGTTCTGAAATTGTGGGCTTGGATCGTGTACCGTTAATCGTGCAGTGACTTGAATAATATATATTCTTCTAAAAATCAAAAATAAAACAATAATCTATATATAGAGCCTATAGTGGTGGTCTATAGGCCTTGAACTTTGCCAACAAGTTGGTAGTGTCCAAAATTATTGGAAGCATCAGGTGAGTGTTATTCAAAAGCCAAAAAGGATATAAAAATTAAAATAAATAATAAGGGGAATTAATTGTCTATCTATTAAGATAGTTAGTATTATTAATTAATCTCTTACTAAATAAACTTTTGATCTTAAAAAGTCAAAAGTTTCCCTTCGAGAGTCAAGAGCTTCTATTAATTTCCACTGAGACTGACCGGCCAGTGTGACCAATGCCCTTCGTGATGCATTCTTCTCGACGAAAAGCAAACCTCAGCATATTAATTACAAACAAATTAAAATTTTTTTGTTTCTCCCCCCCCATCCCCACCACCGCTGCCCAACCCACACTGGCTTAATTAAAGACGCCAAAGAGTAACGGTAATAACCGACAACGGGAACGTCGACCGAAGGGGGTATTTCGTTCGTTATTTGGTGTTGTTGTTGTTGTTGTTGTTGTTGTAGCCTGTCGTAATTGTGCCAGACATCGTCGGTCTCTTTTATTCAAGTTCCCACACTGCAAAAAAAACTATAAAAATAGGATTTAATTTTAAAAAATAATATAGCATACTTTTTAGCATCACATATTGAATTATTTATTTCAAGGAGCTGAAATCAGAAAGAAATGCAACTTTATTTGATTACAAAACATGAATGAACATGCATTTTTATTATAAAACATGAATGAACATGCATTTCGTTATCCTTGGCACTTTTTTTTTTGTTGCTGTGCTCCTTGCACCCACACACATACACATCCATATCCCTGCCACAGACCACCCCTGACCACATTTTCCTTCTTGCCAGGACAAAATAATAAAAGGAAGAAGCGGGAGGGAGGGCGAGGGAGAGAAAAAAAAAGCACAGAAGGATGAGAAAGGAGGAGAAAGGAGAATGAAAAAAAAAAAAAAAACTGTGTCGCTTTCGTCTGCGTGCTATGACTGCAAAACTGTTGCCCCAAAACAAATGACTAGGATGAGGTACATACCACTCCCCTCCCCTTCCCTCCCCCTTTTCTCGTTGATTTATGCCAGCGGCAAAATTATGAAAAATTGTTGCAGCTAAAAATTCGCAAAACAAAAAAAAAAAAAAAAAGAAATCTGAGAAAGTAAACACACGCCAAAATCCAGAAAAAAGGAAAATAAATAAATTCGATAATTTATCCATAAATTTTAGAAGCTGGCTAGCCTTGGCTATAACCCCACTAGTCCCTCCCCCCTCCTCCTGTCTTGTAGCAATTAACATGTGCAAATTTCTGGCCACATAAATTTCCGTAAACTGTTCCCGGCCAGAGGGGCCAGTGGCCAAATCTGCGTCTGTCGGTGGTGGGGACCCATAAATTCTATTCTCCCCAAAATCGGCAGTCGGGACTTTGGAGAAAATAAAGGAGCCACAGAGGGCTGACCAGTTAGGAGCTATGGCTATGGCTTGAGGATTAGGAGCATAAGAGCCAGATCACAGCCCATAGAGATCAAAACTAAAAGGACTTTAATCCTTTTTCTGGCTTTCAAGCTAGTTGCCATTACTTGGTCTGCACTTTCGTCACCTTGTTAATAGTGTATGAAGTCAAATATTGTATAATACTTATGTATATAGTATATATAGTAGCATATGTGATGAGGGGAAAGTGTGTCATTCAGTCACAACTCTCTCTTAAGATGCATCCAAAATTGAAGTGCATCCAACATTTAAATACATGACTGCGGTTTTCGTCTTTGCAACGAATTTGGCGCCCACATTGTGGCAGGGTGGTTGGGTGGCTGGGTGGCTGGGTGGGCGGTAGGGCGGTAGACCAGCTGAGCTTGCACCACAGAGTCAAAGGAGGAGCTCAAAGTGGCTTACGCTTGACTGATTTAATGCATGTCAAAATGTCAAAATATATGCATGCACAAAGAAGCCCCTTTTTGCCTTTGCCCCCCGCCCACTGACCGACCGACCGACCCACCGCCCACCATTTTCTGGTCACAGATTTTCAACTCTGTCGCCCCACAAAAAAAAACAAAAAAAATAAAGGCCACCAAAGTTAGTCACTCTGTCAGCTTTGTCAGAGTAACAGTCCCAGTTCCCAGTTCCCAGTCAAAACAATTATAAATGATAAATGTCAAACAGAGATGGACGGTGGTAAAGTAGGGAAATTGCCTACACAGAGAGAAATTGTGTGGGGGGGTTGATTAAAAAAAATATATAACTATATGAGGGTTTGTAGATTTCAACTAAGTTACTGCCAGATGTTCTTTAGGGTTAATTGTTTAGTGTTTCTTACTAGTTTTTAAAATAAACTATGCTTTATTATTTTGGGAATAATATTATAGATATTTGTATAAGTACCGGGTATCATAATAATATTTATTTTTATTTCAATTAGCTTTTTAATTCAGACCAATCTGAAAACTAAAGATAAAGAGTAAGAGTCTCGGAGAAAGTCTCAGATCAAGAGTCTCAGAGTAAGAGTCTCAGATTGTTGGAGAAAGTTATCATTCTATTAAGTTAGTAATTATATCAGTACTGGGTATCATTTATTATGTATTTTTATCTAAATTAGCTATTAAATAGGGATTTGTTTAAAACTAAAGAGTAAGAGTCTTAAAACTTGATCTAAAATTGTTGGAGAAAGTTTATATAATCTAAGGTTAGTAATTGTATCAGTACCTGGTATCATATAGTTTGTTATATAGCTTCTTGGTTCTCTATTCTAAGGACCTGTAATAGATGATAGCAATACAAAGTCTGAAACCCCAGTATTTTTGCTTTAAAATGCATCTTACCCACAAAAAAAGCTCAAGTACCGGGTAGAAGTATTATTTTTTGATAACTATCTCTGCAAGTACTGGGTATCAGTATTCTTTTTTGATAAATATCCCCAAAAGTACCAGGTATTAGTATTTATTTTGGATAATTATCCTTACAAGTACCGGATATCAGTATTATTTTTTGGATAATTATGTCCACAAGTACCGGGTATAAGTATTATATTTGATAAATATCCCCACAAGTACCGGCTATCAGACAGTCTATTTTTAGTATTTTTGGTATTAATTATAAAAACAAGCATAGATGGTTCTAACTTTTAATAGTATCTATTTAGAGACTAACCTAAGAAGGAAAAGGCCCTAAAATACCCAAAAAAACCTCTATATTTTTTCCAAGTGCACCCCTTGCTAAGGGGGGCAACACATTGAGGGAACATTTAAGGAAGGATCTCAGCTCGGCACACACCAAACAGATAACTCACACACATTAAACTTAATTTGGCGCAGCTCATTAATAAAATACGGCAAACAGACGTACGCATATACACGGCGTACACTGCTATTAAAAGTTGTGTTGCAAGTGTTGTGTTGTCCTTCCGCACCTACCACCCCCCCTCCCCAGAAACTAGACAAATGAGCCAAGGAGTCTGCGAGTCTGGGAGATCTGTGGAGGGGGGAGAGGGTGGTGGTGACATAATTTATGCAAAATATAAACCAAGCGACAGGCAAAAACAACTTATTAAAAAATACGTACAACAAACGAGCGACAGCTATAAATAACCTGGCCAAGTAAGTCAACGGCCAGAGGGGGAGGTGGAGTGTGTGGCACGGCACGAGCAACTTTTTCAAGTGTCTGTGAAACTGTAAACATTTTGCAACTGCCTTTCCACAAGCATTCCACAACCGAAAGCAACAAAACAACAAAAAACAAAAACCACCCATCGAAGCATATGCACTGTGGCATTCCTCTCGGGGGAAATAATAAAAATAATCTACAACACCTGTCCACCAGGTACAACACATGCAAGTGTGCTTCTAACCACAAAAAAAACATACAAACAACAAGAAATACTAAAATATTTTTCAAAAATTACTTTCAGTTTTTTTTAGGAATTATTTTTATGTCTGGGTTTGTGGAATGGAAGGTGTTTGGATTTTTGGGTGATTATTTTAAGG